CCCCCCCCCCGCCAAGTTTTACTAGTCTGTGAAATCTGAAAGTCTGGAAACCACTGACTTAGCATTAAAGTTTTTTTTTTTTTAGATAGAAAGCTCAATATGAATCAACAATGTATGAAATAGTTTCTGAAAAAGATACTATTACCTTAGTACATATTTAAGTATAGTGTTCAACAGGAGAGAAGTAATAAATACTATTCTGTACTGGTCACATCACATCTCAAGTATATTTAGTTCCATGATTGATTTGGATTGATATTTGCAAGATGCTGGTGTTGTTAGTAAAAGAACTTTAAGGGTATAATATGGAGAATTGGGCAGTTGTCTGGAAAAGAAAGGACAACAGTAGAAGGTAGACCATTCTAGATGTCCTCAAATTTTTAAAGGGCTGTTGGGTGGCAAAGATATCAGGCTTGTTTTGTATGGCTCTAAAATACAGAACTAAGACATGAGTCAGTGCTAAGGGAAGACAGATTTAGATTTTTTAGGTAAACATAATGGTGAAATGTATATTAGAGTTGTCTTGGAAATGTCTGCCTTGAATAGCATTTTGTGCTCCATGATTGGAGTTGTTCAAGCGTATATTACATAGATTATTTTGTTCAGAGTTTTCAAGGTCCTGAAACTGGTGTGTAGACAGGTTTCTCATTCCTATAAAATGATGTCTAAATTTTTAGTGTGTACATTCAACACTTATAGGTATTTCGGGGTTGAGATGGAGAAGGGGGATTAGAAATTGATGAATTGTTTATTACAGGTATTTTGGGGTTGAGATTGGGAAGGGGGTTTTTAGTATGTAAAGTGACAGGGACAGATCAGAGAACGTTTGAGCACTCTTAAAATATTTTTCTTCTCAATAGGTATACTCGGATATTAATGAAGGATATAGATATACTGAACTCTGCAGGAAAGATGGACAAAATGAGATTGTTGAACATCCTGATGCAGTTGAGGAAATGTTGTAATCATCCATATCTCTTTGATGGAGCTGAACCTGGTCCACCTTATACAACGGATATGCATCTAGTTACCAACAGTGGCAAAATGGTGGTATTAGACAAGCTGCTCCCTAAACTGAAAGAACAAGGTATCTATATTACTGATTTTTCGCAGTTGAGAAGTAATGAAAACTTAGAATTCTAATGTTAAAATGAGAGTAGTACACTTTTGAAATGACTGCTCTTGACACTTTAAAACTGAAGTGGGACATTTAAAAACCTGTATCCATTATCTGAGCATTCCCTCAGTTTTAGGCCTTTTCTTATCTCTTAAAAGGTGATCAATAGGTAGAGCAACAACACTCCCTGGATTTTGGGGAGAGTTTCTTTTTTATGTTAGCTTTCACATCAATCATTGAATGATTAAGAAATTTCAGCTTTTTGTCATAAAATGCCAGGATCACTCTTCCCAGCCATACACAGTTCTACATCCTTTGTTAGACAATGATATTGTGGTCAGTACCGCTTTTTGATTATTTATGTGGACTTTTTACTTAATTAAATACCATGCTAGGGACCCACAGCTTTTATAATATGCTTTATATATATGCTTTATAATATGCTCACTATAGAAATGGTATATGTGTGGTGTGTGTATAGGTATATTTAAATTATATGAACATAGAATTTAGTATGAAGCCACGTTCAGCAGTTATGTGCTCATGGCAAAACTTGTTTCTTCTATACCCACTTCCCCCTTCCCAGATTATTTTGAAGCAAATCCCAGATATAGCATTCTATATATAAATAATTCATCATCATAATTCATTATGAGTTGAAAATCGACTTGACGGCACGTAACATTGCGCGCGCGCACACGCACACAGACACACACACGTAGTCCTGACTTATGACAGAATTCTGTTCCAATGACTCCACTGTAAGTCGGTTGTGATGTAAGTCGAATACCTCTTTTTTTTAAGTTTTATTATTGCCTTTTATTAGTATATTTATAAATCTGATCTTTATTGTCTTTGGGGGTTGGCATGAGAAAGAACAGCAGCAAATTACTCACTGCAACACTCTGTAGTACATATTATTGATAAGATATAAGAATAATAAGAAGGACGGTCATAAGTGTGGTTTGTCGTAACTGATATATCATAAGTCAGGGATTACATACACATATGTATATATAAAATCTTTAAAGAAAAATTCTTCAAAGTATAATTACAATGTCTATCACTTCTAAAAATATCAGTGATTTTCTCATGTCAGATATATAATCAGATGTCAAATGTCTGCATTTGTGATTCTATATGTATTTTGATAAGAGTGACAACGATACCAGTATATTGACTGTCAGAACCATTTTATGAGTCGTCAGTGAATTGGTAGTTTTTATTTTTACACCTTTTTGTATGAATATATTTTTTAAAACAATTTCCTTGGAAGCTGAGTAACTAAAGGAATTGGTGTGGAGGAGTGGCAGGAACTTGGTAGAGATACTCACTAATGAAACATTATTAAGCTCTGCAGAGAAAATGGAGACTATTGAACATCCTTATGCATTTGTGGTGTGAGAAGGTGAGACAGTTGGAGATTGTCAGCCTTATCCTCCAAGACAGGATTGTTTCATAAAGCTGGCTAAAAAATGAGAGTCAGTTCAATAATTTGAATCATGGCAGATAGGTGAATGGTGATTCGTGTAGATACAAGGCAAACATTTATAGTCCTTTGACCTGGAATGAGTTCTTAGAGCTAGAAGAAGACAAGGGGTATGTGAATGTGTATTGGGGAATGTACAGGAGCAATGTGCATGGAAGGGCTTGTGGGGGCTAGGGGGTAGAAGATTATTTTAAATGTATGTGGGGTAACAATACAGTGTTTCTCAAGGCCTGTGAGATGGCAAGATCTTCCAGGTCAGAGGGAAATACCCTTTTCTGTTTACCTTAGTGTGTTATGCAAATTATTGTGTTAAGAAATTTTTCTTAATACAATAAGAAAAAAATACTGTGTTAAGAAAAAATTATCTTCTTTTTGTGCCATAATGGGAAAAAAGGTGAAGAATGACAGTCTTGGATAATAAATAATGTAGATCTTTTCTTTCTTGTAACTAATGAGGTAACTTGGAATTAAGGGTAATTGGTTAGTCAGTAGTTTCAGTTAGCCTTAAATTTTTGAATAAATTTTTTTATTTTTGAAGCTTCTGATAAAGAGCTATTATATTCATCAACAGGTTCACGAGTATTAATCTTCAGTCAGATGACAAGAGTACTGGATATTTTGGAAGATTATTGTATGTGGAGAAATTATGAATATTGCAGATTGGATGGGCAGACACCCCATGATGAGAGACAAGTAAGTACAACTCAAAGAGGGGAGATATAAAGATATCAGATAAAATAATTTTCTGACGCTTGTTTTATTTTGTATATATAGGAGTCCATCAATGCATACAATGAACCAAACAGCACAAAGTTTGTTTTCATGTTAAGCACACGTGCTGGTGGCCTTGGCATCAATCTTGCTACTGCTGATGTAGTAATTCTGTATGATTCAGACTGGAACCCCCAAGTAGATCTTCAGGCTATGGTAAGAGATATCAAATATATTCTGTGCTTAGATGTTTTAGTTAACTTCAGTGCTGTCGAGTGGATTCTGACTCATAGTGACCCTATAGGACAGAGTAGAGCTGCCCCATAGGGTTTCCAAGGCTGTAAATCTTTACGGAAGCAGACTGCCACATCTTTCTCCCACAGAGTGTCTGGTGGGTGCTAACCCACCGACCTTTTGGTTAGCAGCTGAGCTCTTTAACCACTGGGCCACCAGGGCTTTTCTCAATGTTTTAGTTAGGGTAAGTTAAACAATATCCAAATCCCAGTAGCTTAATGCAGTAGAGTTTTTTCTCTCACCTAAACATTTCAGTGAGTACTTCGTAGATGATTGCCATCTAAATCAGGATACTTCCATATTATGGCTATGCCATACCTTAGGACTGTGGAGTTCTCTGTACATCTTCTGCATCAGTTGAGTATTGCCCAGGAAGGTTTTTTTTTTTTTTGTTTCAGATTTTTGCAAACCTTTTTCATGTCTGACCTGATGGAAAGACAGCTGGATTCTCATATCTGCTACTTTAGTCAGTCTGTTGTGATATGTAGTTTTGACTGGAGTACATGAAGAAAATCTTGCTTCATACAGATATATAATGAGAAAAGAGAGGAATCTTTTATAAGCCTTTTCAGATGTTTTTGTAGGTGCCATCAAATCAGTTCTGACTTATAGCAACCTCATGTACAACAGAAAGAAACACTGTCCGGTCCTGCATCATCCTCACAATTGTTGGGCTTGAGCCCATCGTTGCAGCCACTGTGTCAATCCATGTTGTTGAGGATCTTCCTCTCTTTCACTGACCCTCTACTTTACCATGCATGATGTCCTTCTCCAGGGATTGGTCCTTCCTAGTAACAGGTTCAATGTACGTGAGATGAAGTTTCGCCATCCTTGCGTCTAAGGAGCATTCTGGCTGTACTTCTTCCAAGACAGATTTTTTTCCTTCTTCTGGCAGTCCATGGTATATTCAGTATTCTTTGCCAACACCTTAATTCAAAAGCAACAATTCTTCTTTGGTCTTCCAGGAATTTTTTTATGGGTCAGACCTGGAAGTGTTTCCACATAGCATAACTGACTGCAAGGGAATTGATAAATGGTAGTATAGTTGTATTCCGAAAGGAAGGGGAAATGGATTTGGTGAGCAGCTAGCCTTTCTGCCATATTAGATGCTTAAAATTTGGGCCCATATGTGGGAATAGTTGGCCAGATCAGGAAGGTCATTTTTATCTTGGATTGAGAACATTTATGATCTGTAAATGAATACAAAATCTTAAAATTTTTCTTAAGTTTGATATTGCTAATGACTTGACCCATGGTATGGTGACCATAAATTCAACTTTATTAAATCTCTGGTGTTGATCACTTTCATCCTGTACTTTTTGCTTAGTGGCTGGGAAAAATTGATCAATTATTAGAAGTAGGGGCTGTTTATAGGAATGTGGCTTTTGAACATACCAGAAGTTAAATAGAAAGTTGAGTTCAGATTGATTTGAGTACTCATATGTAGTTAATTGGGTAATATTTAAAGACTGAGATTCTTATATTGCTCGTGAGGTTCATTTATTCATGTCACTTCTTTCCCTAATAGTCATGGTAATTCAGACTTGATATAGGTAGAAAAGCATAGTGAATTTAAACCTAAGGAAAAAAGAATACATATATTTGTGGTTTGGGGGCTTTTTTTTTTTTTTTTTATGTTTTTATTATGACTGTTTTGTTACATATTTTAAAAAATGTTTTATACTTGAAAATTTCTTAAATTTGTTTTCAGTATGCACCAAGAATTATGTGAATTTTTTAACTGTATTAAAAATAACATGATAATTTGTCTAGGACCGAGCACATAGAATTGGGCAAACTAAGACAGTCAGAGTGTTCCGGTTTATCACTGACAACACTGTAGAAGAAAGAATAGTGGAGCGTGCTGAGATGAAACTTAGACTGGATTCAATAGTCATTCAACAAGGTGAGCCTTAGAACTTTAAAGTTTTACCAAATTGGATTAATACAACTTTTTTTTGGTTGGATATTTTAGGAGGTTTTTGTTATTAAAGCATCTGTTGAACCAGGCGAGCTAACAGGCCCAACATGTATGTTCCAGAGATAATAAATTTTAGTTTTGTTAAAAGAGTATGGATTTTAGGGTCACGAATGTTGAAGTTTGAATATTGACTCCGTGAGTTAGCAACTTCTCTTCCTCTGTTTGAGCCCATTTCCTTCTCTATTAAATTAGGATGAAAGTAACTTTAGGATTTTCAAGAATAATGGGGATAATGTATATAAATTACTGAACATTCAGCCTGGCACATGGTAAGTAAATAGCATTGTTTGGATTATGATTTATATGTACTGAGTTCTCTATTGATTGCTCTGGGGAATACTGAAGAAATAAAAACCAAACTAAAAGAATCTGATCTTAATTCTTTTTTAAAAAATCTACAATTATTTATTGAGCAACCAGCAGGTGCCAGTCACTGTTCTTGGTGCTAAGAATACAAAGGTGCATAAAACAGACAAGTGTTCTTACTTTCAAGACGTTTAAAATTTAGTGGGAGAGAGACGCAGAATAAGCAAATACATAAGTAGGGCTGACGGGTGAGAAAGGGAGCCGTGGTGGCACAACAGTGAAGCACTTGGCTGCTAACGGAAGGGTTGGCAGTTCAAACTCACCCAGCAGTTCTGCAGGAGAAAGACCTGGTGATCTGCTTCTGTAAAGATTACAGACTAGAAAACCCTATGGGACAGTTCTACTCTGTCACATGGGGTCACTATTAGTTGGAATCGACAGCACACAACAGAGGGTGATAATGGAGCTTTTATTTTGGATTGATTAAAGGAAACTGCAAGTTCTCATTTCAGAGTGACTTTTAAGGAGGACATAATTTGTTTCATAAAGCTTAAAGTTTGTGGTAGGATATGTAAAATGCAAAAATAGAAAGAAAAAAACTAAGGAGCTACAGCTCACATTATCTCTTTCATTCTCTGACTATACCATGAGTGTATACATGTTTGTCTGCCTGTAAAGCTGAAAGATACAGCAGTATATTGTTCACTGTTTATTTCACATATGTGTCTTGGTTTTGTCAACTAACTAGCCTATGTAATGCCATGCATAGTGTCAGCCATGTGTCTGAATACCTGAAGACAATAAATGCTTATTATTAATTGTTTTTGTTAATAATAGCTTAACAACAAGCAGTTACTTTGTGCCAGTCATTGTGCTAATTACTTTTTACATCCATTATCTCTTTTAGTCTTCATCCCAACTTGATGAGATTGGCATCAGAGGTGGAGGGCTTGGAGAGGTTTAAGTCACTTATGCAATGTTTATGTAGTTAGAAAGTGACTCAGCTAGGGGATCAAGAACTGTATTAACTATTAGACATAAAGTGCTTTTGGGGCATGGGCTGTTCTCATATTTTGAATTATGTCTCCTGATACACAAAACAGTAACACAGAGATAGGAAAGGCTTGGGGACTTTTGGGGCATATCAAACAATTGGATTTCTCATGGGCATTGTAGTGGCTAGTCTTCCCCCTCTCCCCTCCAGTATGCCTCCAGTCTTTTGAATCATTGGCACGTGGTTTTTGTTTTTTTTCCCCCTACAATTATTCTCTTGTATTAATTCGTTTACAATAAACTTAGGAATCTGTCTGTGTTTTATTACACTTTTTTGTTTTAATATTTTACTGGGGCAAATTTTGAAGCAAAGTTTGTTGACCCATTTGTAGACGTATTAATCAAACAGCAAGCATCGTGTGCCAACCTCTGTGTTACTGTTTTGTGTACTGGAAGACATAATTAACAATATGAGAGCAGCCCATACCCCCAAAGCATGTTGTTTCATGCCCAACAGAGAACCAGTTTCTGTAAGTTTTAAGAACATTCTGATAGTAAGATAGCTTTTAGTCCAAAGAAACATGTTCTAGCGATACATCCTCACTTCGAAAGTCACAAATGTTTGGCTGTGCATTCTATGAGAGGTCCAGAACCATGATATAAATACTTAAGGAAGTTGTAGAAAAAAACTTGGACCTTTCCCACTCGTTGCAAGTTGATTGGAATGCAAAAATAAAGCGTTGTTTGTTTAAGTATGTGCAAAATGTCCACTAAGGGCAAAAATGGAACTCTTTGCTTTTTTTCTTTTAGTTTGTCTGCTTTGCTGTTTATATCTTCAAAAACACAAATTACAGGGTTGACCAATTTCTTCTTGCCCAATTGATAGATCTTAATTAATTTACTAATGCTGAGTTTCTTTTATGATCCGAATACGCTTTCAGGAGTTTCACTTCTTAAGATTAGGAAGCTTCCAGAAATCAATGTTATGTATTACAGTTCTTACATAAAGTTTGGCAGTATGAAGGTTTTTTGTACTTCACATTTCAAAGGAGAAAAAAATCTGGTTAGGGTATTTTAGCATTAACAACTTCTACTCATCAGAAACTCCTTGTGTTTATAATATTCCCACTTGTTGAAAATTGTTTTTTTTTAAAAAATTCATCAATAATTTTGCTTTTCAAATATTCCAAATGCATATATTCACTTCACACAAGAATATGTTTCATGTGCAGTAAAACAATAAGCTTGGTTATATAACCTTTGAAACATTAAAAGCTTATCAACTGAAAATTTGGCATTAAATTTTATGTAAAAATCAAAATTATCAGATGTAAAGAAACAGAAATGATTGGTGTTTGAGACAAAATTAGAAGGTATTACATCTAACATTTAAAATTCCAAGTTGTCAGTAAAAGTCTGTTCAATTAACATACAATATTTTTTCAGGAAGACTTGTGGATCAGAATCTAAACAAAATCGGGAAAGACGAAATGCTCCAAATGATTCGACACGGGGCAACACATGTATTTGCTTCTAAGGAAAGTGAGATTACTGATGAGGATATTGATGGTATTTTGGAAAGAGGTGCAAAGAAGGTGAAGTATAAATGATAATGCTTTTAATATATTTCAAACCAGAACTGTTTGAGGAAATGCTTGATATGTGAGTTATAGATAATCTTATTTCCATAAAAAGGAAGCTTTTGTGTACTGTAAAGACTAAGTCATTTTGAGTACAGTTCTCGTTCTTGTTTTTAGTCTAATAAGGTGTTTCTTTTGTTTCCTAGACTGCAGAGATGAATGAAAAGCTCTCCAAGATGGGTGAAAGCTCACTTAGAAACTTTACAATGGACACAGAATCGAGTGTTTATAACTTTGAAGGAGAAGACTATAGAGAAAAACAAAAGGTGCTTTAGAAAGAGGTTTTGGTTGCTTGAAGGCTTTGTTTTACTGGAAACGTGGAATTTAAATATTTGCTACAATACCTTATAATTACTCACGTCTGATAATGTAAATTACTTCCAATTTTATCTAAAATTTAATGCCACATTTTCATTTGGCAGGCTTTGAAATTTTTTGAAATTTCTATAATCTTTTATATACATTCTTTTGTGGAGTGAATATAGTAATTTGAAATATTTGAAAATCAAAATTACTGGCAAAAAGAAATTTTCACAAACCTTATTAGTATTTTTTCTTTTTTTAATAAAATCACAGGATTGAATGGTAATAAAGGGAAAATTTTCCTAATTTCGTAAGTGACACTTGTTAACATACAGAGAGATTTGGAAAATACCTATAGGGTAGGAGGAAAAATAGTTCTACCTAGGGTTATCCTTGTTAACGTTAAGACATATAAGTCCTTAGAATTTTTCCAAATATATATCTATGTTTTTCTCCTAATTGGGTTGTAGCATTTTTTTTTTCTATCTAATAGAATTATTCATCTGGTCAAGAAATAACTTACTGAGTGTCTATATTGTTCACTAGATACTATACTGTAGGTTAATTACATAACATTGAGTAGAATCATAGTCCCTGTCCTTGTAGAGCTTATGGTTCAATATTTTGTGACTGTTTTTCCATTTACAAACATCACTCTTAATGTATAGTATGAGTGCATTCATGTAGCGTTTGCTGCTGTATGTAATAAAAGTTTGTGATTTGAATTCTTTTTCACATGCTAGATTGCATTCACAGAGTGGATTGAACCACCTAAACGAGAAAGAAAAGCCAACTATGCTGTTGATGCATATTTCAGGGAAGCGCTTCGTGTCAGTGAACCTAAAGCACCCAAGGTGAGTTGATAAAAAACAAATATCTGAAAATATTGGAAATGTAAATAAGTTTTCTTCTAATATTCATCTATAAAGTCACATTATTGAGAATTACATTTTATGTGATTTCTTATAGTGTACTCCCTTCAGTGTTTATTTCTTGAAGTTTTCTAAAACTAATTTAGAATCACGCATTTAAACTTTGGTTCATATCAGTTCAGTTTTATTGGAAGATGCATGCAATTTCTTGGAGAGGTGGAGGTCATAGTTTATAGAATGAAGAAGACTAGGAATAGATTTAAAGCAACAAATTTCTCTATTTTTTTATTCCTTTTTAAATTTTTCTTTAGGCTCCTCGACCTCCAAAACAGCCTAATGTTCAGGATTTCCAGTTCTTTCCTCCACGTTTATTTGAATTACTGGAAAAAGAAATTTTATATTACAGAAAAACTATTGGGTACAAGGTAATGGAAATACTTTATTTTATGTCCTTTTCTTTTCTCACACCATTGATGGTCTAAGAATTGATTATTATTAATACTTACTTAACTCTTTTGAGTTGAGTAGAAAAGACTATTCACTATCCCGGGTTGTGTATGTTGGGTACGTAAACGTGTGTCTGTTATCCTTTAAAGAAAGAGAGAAAAAAACAAACTTTATGACTAATTTAGTTTATTTTTAACTTAATAAATGCAGTATCAGTATATTTTCTTGCAAGATTGGATTAAAACTTGTGTGATGTTGTTTAGTTAAGAATTTTAATTCATCACATATTCTCTAAAAATTACTGATTGGTAACACAGAAAAATATTTTTAGGTACCTCGAAATCCTGACCTACCAAATGCAGCACAGGCACAAAAAGAAGAACAGCTTAAAATTGATGAAGCTGAACCTCTTAATGATGAAGAGTTAGAGGAAAAAGAGAAGCTTCTAACACAGGTATAACCTTCAGTCAACACAGAATTGGCAGTTGTTTTGTAAGGTTCTCTGTTAGGTTGTGTTGATTTACAAAGAAGTACAAGTTTCTGGTTTCAGAGATGGAAGATTTAGAGACAGTAAAACATGGATATATGAGTAAATGCTACATTTATTATCACTCTTCGTTTGGTAGTTAAGAAGATTATAGATTTTTATTGGCCTTGGTAGATTGGGTAGCCTGTTGATCACCTTTCTTCCAGGGTTCCCATCTTTCCTTCCCATTAAATCTTCCACATTGCCAACAAGTTATCATTCTCAAGTACAAGACTCTGATACTCTTTTGTTTAACATCCTTTGGGATTCAGTTAAGTCCTTTCAGAATTGATCCTTAAGCTTTATTTTTCTTCCATTTTCCTGCTGGCTCGTGTCTTTGCTCTTTTGCCTGTGTTGTTCTGCTTCACAAGTTCCTTATCTTTCAAAGTGCAACCAAAATGTCACCTTTTCATTTAGCTTTCCTTACTTTTTTTGCCACTCAGATTTAATGCTTGGTTATCTAAATCATAGATAATGTATTGCTAAAAGTATATATCTAGTACATAAAAAGTTACCACTCTAAACTTAAAAAATATAAACTAGAGCATTAGAAAATTGTTTTCTGTAATACTTAGAACCATTTGGTAAAGTGTAATAGTGTTTTTTCCCCAAGTTTATTATGCTGTGATTAAATACTTCGTTTCTATTGCTTTGTAGGGGTTTACCAATTGGAATAAGAGAGATTTTAACCAGTTCATCAAAGCTAATGAAAAGTGGGGTCGTGATGATATTGAAAATATAGCAAGAGAAGTAGAAGGAAAAACTCCAGAGGAAGTCATTGAATACTCAGGTAATTCATTTATTACTTTAATAGATGTAAGAATGTTATCAGGCTTTTGAGCTTAATAAAAACTGTTGGAAGGTTCATATTTTCTTACTCTGATGAGCTAAATTTTTGCCACAACTTTTTTTTTTAAACTTCAATTAGAAAATGTTCCCTTACCTGAAATTGTAGAATTGTTAACTTTTATCACCACTTGTCTGTCAGTTGTCATACTGTGGTGACTTGGATGTTGCTGTGATACTGGAAGCTATGCTACCGTATTTCCAATACCAGCAGTGGTCACTCATGGTGGACACGTGTCAGCAGAGCTTCCAGATTAAGATAGACTGGGAAGAAGGACCTGGCTGTCTACTTCTGAAAACAAATGGCCAGTGAAAACATTATGGATAGCAGTGGAACATTGCTGATATGGTGCCAGAAGATAAGCCCCTCAGGTTGGAAGGCACTCATAAGACGACTGGGGAAGAGCTGCCTCCTCAAAGTAGAGTTGACCGTAATGACGTGAGTGGAATAAAGCTTTCGGGATCTTCATTTGCTGATGTGGCATGGCTTAAAATGAGAAGAAACAACTGTAGATATCCATTAGTAATTGGAATGTGGAATGTACGAAGCATGAGTCAAGGAAAATTGGAAGTCATCAAAAAATGAAATGGAATGCTTGAAGACTGATAAACCTCGGCATTAGTGAAAGCTGCACAATGAATTAGGAAAACTGAAGAAGAACTGATGCATTTGAATTAGGGTGTTGATGAAGATTGTTGGCTGCCAAAAGAACGAACAAATCTCTCTTGGAAGAAGTACAGCCAGAATAATCCTTAGAAGCGATGATAGTGAGACTTTGTCTTGCTTATTTTGGACATGTTATCAGGAGGGACCAATTCCTGCAAAAGGACATCATGCTCAGTAAAGTAGAGTCAGTGAAAAAGGAAGACACTTAATGAGATGGATTGCCACAGTGGCTGCAACAATGGGCTCAAACATAGCGATGATTGTGAGGATGGTGTAGGACTGGGCAGTGTTTCATTATGTTTTGCATGGGGTGCTATGAGTTGGAACTGACTCGGCACCTAACAACAACAACAAGCTAACTAGCTATAGTTAAGAAAACTAGAATAGTTCAGTGAATAATTGTGGTCTCATTTTTATTCTTTTTCTTTCTGTAATTTCTCAAGTATTATTGGCCTATGTTGCCTGAAGTCAGTTTGATTGACAAGTGAATATGTGTAGTTGTGACGAGTGCTTAGGGTTTTAGAATGGCCAAATTTTTTTAAAAATAGTATTTTATTGTGTTTTAGGTAGAAGTTCACACAGCAAATTGGGTTCCCATTTAACAGTTTTTATACAGATTGTTTTGTGACACTTGTTATATTTTTCACAATATGTCAGCAGTCTCATTACCATTCTGTTGGTTTTCTTTCCATTAATCTAGCTTTGCTGGCCCTCCTTACCGTCTCATTTTTGCTTTAGAGTGAATGTTAACTGGTTGCATATAATTGATTTTTAAAGGAGCACAGTACTCAAAACAAGTGGTATTGTTTATTTTATAAACCTACCTTCTATTTGGCTTAAAGGTGACCTCCAAGAGTTGCTTCAGTTCCAGGTTCAAAAGGTATCTAAGGGCAATGTCTAGGGGGTTCCTCTAGTTTTTATTGGTCCAGTCAGTCTGGCCTCTTTTAGGAATTTGAGTTTTGTTCTACATTTTTCTCCCATTCTATCCAGGACCTTCTTTTGTGTCCCTGGTTAGAACGGTCCATGGTGGTAGCTGGGCACCATCTAGTTCTGGTCTCAGGTTAGATAAGGCCATGGTTCGTGTGGGCTGTTAGTCCCATGGACTAATTTCTTCTTTGAAATTAGTTTGGTTTCTTCCTTCATTCTTTTTTGCTTCAGATGAGTAGAGACCAATAGTTGTATCTTAGATGGCCACTGGGAAGCTTTTAAGACCTCAAACGCTACTCACCAAACTAGGATGTAGAACATTATTGTTATGAACTATGTTATACCAGTTGACTGAGTTGTCCCTTGAGACTATGATCCTAAGCCTTTTAAACCAGTAAACCAATCCCGCGATATGTTTCGTTATGTCTAGGAAGTATCCGTGACTGTGCCCCTTATGTGCTTTATTATATATGTGAGTATATATGTAGCATACACAAACATGTATACACATATGCTTACAGATACACCTATATATGATGTGCATGTACTCACATATACCATCCTGTACACATATATATGTGCATATCTTCGTATGTAACAACCCACATATTTTCTGTTCTTACTGTTGTTGCAAAATTGTATATGTCATAGCATTTACTGAAATTGTCCTTTATTCTTGTGTACATCTTAGTGTCTTCATTTACCTTGTTCAGGTTGTACAGACTTCACACTTACTGTGTATTGCCCTTCCCATCACCAAAAATAACAAGTGTTGTACTGTCTAGAAAGTAATTTCCCCTCCCTCCCACTCCCATCCCTGGTAACCATCAAAGAACATTGCTTTCTGTGTATATACCTGTTCTTGTCTTTTTATAAAAGTGAGACCATACAGTATTTGTCCTTTTGTGATTGACTTATTTCATAATGTCCTCCAGATTCATCCATGTTATGTTTTGCAGACTCATCATTATTGTTTATAGTTGCATAGTATTCCATTGTATGTGTGTACCGTAATTTGTTTATCCGTTCGTCTTGTGATGGGCACTCAGATTGTTTCCATCTTTTTGCTATTGTGAATAATGCTACAGTGAACGTAGGTGTGCATGTGATAGAATAGCCAAAATTTAAGAGTTGGAAGATACTTAAGATATCATCTACTTCATCTCTCATATTTTTTTTACAGTTAAGGAAACTGAAAAATTATAAATGACTGACTTACTTTCCAGTATTATAGGATAAATGACCATGTTTATTAATCTTTAGCAAGTAAAACAAAATAGAGCATTTAAGCTAGCAAGTTATTTATTATAGTTTCTCTTTACTCTCCTCATCCCCTGAACTTTACTCTTTTACAGCTGTATTCTGGGAAAGATGTAATGAACTACAGGACATAGAGAAGATTATGGCTCAGATTGAAAGGGGAGAGGCAAGAATTCAGAGAAGAATTAGTATCAAAAAAGCACTTGACACAAAGGTACTTTGCTTATTAATAAACATGGCAGTTATATTCACAGATAGTGAATATGAGAGTTAAAATAGCTTTTTAAAAGGAAAAGTAATGATAATTTAAAATTTCCTTAAAGAAAACCATGTAACATTTACAGGTATTCTCAGCAGAATATTCCTCAGTATTAGGTTATGTGGATCAAAGGCACTGCTAGTATTAGTTCTTTCCTAAGTATAGAGAAATGAGTTTTCTTTTTATAGTAATGAGAATTATAAAGTTTTTTCAGCACAAAGTTTATATAATGCTGTTGAGGTGCCTTGGGTAGAAGATTCTAGTTTGAAATAAAACATACCTAATTTTGCAGTACAGATTATATAGGGCTTGTGTTTTATTTAATCTAAAATGTGATTTTATAGATTGGACGGTACAAAGCACCTTTTCATCAGCTGAGAATATCATATGGTACTAACAAAGGAAAAAACTATACTGAAGAAGAGGATCGTTTTCTGATTTGTATGCTTCACAAGCTTGGATTCGACAAGGAAAATGTTTATGATGAATTGCGACAATGTATCCGCAACTCTCCTCAGTTCAGATTTGACTGGTTTCTTAAGTCCAGAACTGCAATGGTGAGTGCATGAGGCCTTTTTGTGTAATGTCGCAGAGTTCAGAGTAATATTCCTTGACTAAGGTAACGTGGTACCTTGACTGTCATACTTCTAGTGATATTACTTAGAAGGGAAAGAACGTACATGCCTCTTCAAGTTAATTGTAGTTGATTTTGACCCTCAAGTATATGTATTACTAATTTTTAAGTTTTTTTATAAATGGTACTGAATTCTCAGGCATGGACAGTAAATAGCAGTATCGCATATATTATGAGATGCTTTTGATTTGTAAGTGAAAGAAGGATACACAACAGTATGGCTTTAAAGAATGAAGTAAAAACATAAGTATCTTATTTTCTACCTCAGCATGATTGTGTATGAAAATGAGTTCCTTTGTTGTTTATTTTTATTTTATTTATTTGTGGATGTATGAGTGATTTTATATTAACCTATCAAAACATACTTTGTTTTAAAATTGAGATTCTAAAAGTCATAGATGGAAAACACATGGTTTACCATGTAAATCTTTGTTTATAACTCAGGAGCTCCAGAGGAGGTGCAATACCTTAATTACCTTGATTGAAAGAGAAAACATGGAACTAGAAGAAAAGGAGAAGGCAGAGAAAAAGAAACGGGGACCAAAGCCTTCAGTAAGTATTCATGAATATTTTTTTTTGTGGACTTGGTATTTTTTTCCTTAAGAATTTGAACATTACTTGGCTATCATTGATGTGTTAGTCTTTTTTCTTATCCTTACCCAAAACCCAAACCCAGTGCCGTTGAGTCAATTCTGACTCATTGCAACCTGTAGGACAGAGTAGAGCTGCCCCATAGGGTTTCCAAGGCTGCAAATCTGAAGCAGACTGCCACGTCTTCTCCTGCAGAGTGGCTGGTGGGTTTGAACTGCTGACCTTTCGGTTAGCAGCCAAGGACTTTTTAACAGCTGTACCACCAGGGCTCCTCAGTACATCCTTAGATCACTTAAAAGTTGGAATTAAACTTGATTGAACTACATGGGGGATATTATGTGTTATGATAATATATCATATAGGGATTTATGAAAATTTGAGAAGGTATGTCTTGTGAATGCTGAGAGCTTGCACTTCTCATTGGGAATGCAAGTTATAATTTTAGAATATTTCAAGAAATATTAGGAAAGCAGCAACCTTTACTCTTGACATCTAAGCCTTGATTTATTGTCCCAGTTGATATCTCAACAATCTGAAAGCAAAATTATTAAGGGAGAAAGGTCATGTTGTTATTTAATAATAGTTCATGAAGTCATGAGTAAATGAGTATGTATAGATAATATTTGGTATTTATGAAACTTCTAAAAACTCACAAAGTATTACTGTTTTCTTTTGGGGAGAGGGAGTATATTTGGTATATTGATTTGCTACTGATAATTGTGAATTATTTCTTGTGATTTCATTGTTAATATTAAACTGCTAAGTAAAATAGACTTGATAGTTTATTTTGAAAGATTTTATTATTCTGGGCAAGAAAATCTAATAATTCATTACTGTGTAGCAGCTAAAGTAATATAATATGTCTGCTAATGTATTTCATGCTTACGTTAGTCTTGTGACTAAGACAGAGTAATCCTTCTGTTTGTTTTTAGACACAGAAACGTAAAATGGATGGAGCCCCTGATGGTCGAGGAAGAAAAAAGAAGCTGAAACTATGAATATATTTTTGTTTCATAATCACTAAATTTAAACCAGTAGTTCTTTAATTTACGGGTCTTCATAAGATGTACTGTACAATGCTCAACTGTTATGTCATTAAAAGACATCAGGTTCATCTGTTTACTGAGCTAGAAACATAGTATGTAGTTTCACTTTTTTAAATGCGACAGCTGTGCTGAGGTTTTTTTTTTTATCTTTAACACTTGAAGTAATAAAATAGGCTTCATTTATTAATAAATGCTTCATTTGATTTATTTTTCTATTATAGTTCCATTTGTGAAGATTGTGACATTTTGTTTATCAGCTATAGTTTCTACACTCGTAAGATTTAAACACAAGCAAACAACTAAAAACAAAACAAATATTTGTCCCTTCAGTCTCAAATTAGTTGTGTAATTCTTTTAATTCAGTTTGCCTTTGCAGAAATTTGGGTATCTTCTTTGTGGTACCATTGAGTCTCATCTGGGAAGATTATGTAAATTGCATTCTTATTATGTGGGTAGAATGGGAAAAAAAAAGAGGCAAGACAAATTGTAATTAAATTCTATGCATATTTTTGTTATGCCTTCTGTTTCTATAGTTGGTTCTGAGGGCCTTTTAGTTGTATAGCCAAAGACACTTAGTATTTTCTGGTTCCTTAAGGTGTTATTGTACCATTTTGTAAAAGGAATATTATTATTATTTTTTAATTGTTGGATAAATATTTTGACAATGACCTTCTGAAGCAGCAACAATTTAGAAAGATAATGTCAGAACTGAGGTGATTTTTTTTTTTTTTTTAAAGACCCAGCCAGAGTAAGGTGTGAACTTGTCATAGTGTTTAATTGAAATTGGTAGTAAAATGTATGCCCTCCCAGTTTGTAGCATTTTGAGTTTTAGAGTGATTGAAAATTTTATTTTATTATATTTTAAAATAATTTCTAAAAGTGTTAGCAGCAAAACTGACTATAATTCCGGTTTTTGTTTTCTATGGACAGACTTGATAGACTGGAGACCTTGAAGCAGGGACACCCAAATTGTAGTGTCAGGATTTTAGCTTTACCAGAGGCCTTTGTGTGCTACACATAATTTGTATAAAGTTTTATATGTGCAAAATTGGGTACATGAACAGTTCTCCATTTTTCTAAGGGAATGCAATAAATGTAACATCGTGAATAAATATAACTTTTATAATCCTTAAAGTAGTCTTTCCATTTCTTGAATTTCTTTTCCTTTTTGATTTTTATTCACTGTTTTCTTCAAACATTATCTTTTTCCGTTAAAGAGGTTTCTTTCAAATTTCTAATAGTCTTTTTCATGTGCCCACACTCATTGAAATTTTTTACTAAATGCTAATTTCTGTAGTATTGCTAGTACCTTAATACCTTTACCTGCTTAATTTTCTGTAATGAGGGGTTGCTGCTGTCAACTTTATGCAAAACAGTGTTTATGGCAAGAGTAACTTGAATTTATCCTGTGGGGCTCCAAAATTGACTTCTACACAGTGTTGCACTCGTTAAAGGGTCTATTGTATGTGGAATTTGAGGAACGATTACCTCTTTAATGAAAGGGATTATTTTTAGGAGTTGTGACTTCATTTTGGAAGAAATAATTTGAAAAATGAAAAGCTGAAGAAAACTGTACAGACGTCACAAAAGAAATGATGTTTTTTAGAAGAAGAAAAACCCAAACCAAAGCCATTGCCATTGATCTGATTCTAACTCGTAGCGACCCTGTAGGACAGGGTAAAACTGTCCTTTAGGGCTTCCAAGGCTGGTGGAAGCAGACTACCACATCTTTATCCCACAGAGTGGCTGGTGGGTTCCAGCCACCGACATTTTGGTTAGCAGCCGAGCGCTTAACCACTGCGTCATGAGGGCTTCTTAGAGAAGAAGAGAGCGTAATTGTGTTTGGGGGGATGTAGATAGTGGAATGCAAAAATGAATCTAGTGCCAGCCCTTGAAAGCTTAGGAACTCAAATATAGAGGAAAATAAAAGAACACTGGAAAACATAAAACATACAAGTCTAACATTGCAATTTAGCCAGTGTGTGAATCGTGTTTCACAGATAAATTTAGAACGAAGTAAAATCAAGTTTTTATTTATGCTGCTCATTAAGGGAAAAATGATAACTAACCTCAAACTACCTGTTTTAAAAGAGGAATTGATTGTAGAGAAAATGGAGTCAACTGGAAACTATGAGAAAAAAACTCCAAACTGCTAGAATCACACATGGGGCCAGCCTAGAAGAGGCTGGGTGTTTAAAGCACGTGACCAGTCAGCTATCTGTTATAATCCAAAAAACTATAGGAAATCATTACCAAAGCAGACCAACATCTTTTTCCTGAAGAGCAGCTGGCGGGTTCAAACCACTGACCTTTTTGGTCAGCAGCCAAGTGTTTCAACCACTGTGCCACCAGGGTTCCTGTTACAATCCAGTACATTTAGTGTCCTAAGTAATTGAGCCTCTGCATGCAAGGCTCTGTTATTTCTGCTGGGAAGATTATAGCAGTATAACCAGGTAAAAAACCTGATAAAATGTAGTCATTACATTCACCTTCAATATTTTAAATTTTAATGTTAAAACCTAGGGACAAAAAAAAGTGGAAATTTTCCAATAGCAAGCATATTTTAAAAATTTGGAGCATTTTAAATTTATATAGTAGTTTCAAGTGTGCTTGGCTTTATAGTCGTGCTTACGTACTATGTGTTAAATTACATATTATGTGTTAAATTTTTATTAATTAGGAAATCAACTAAATAGCCTAATTTAGCATAGTCATGTTTATGGGCTTCTAAATGTTGATCTTCCTTATCGGATAGTTTTATCCTTATAGGATATTCCTATCAGGGTCTAGTTAAGTGGGATAGATAATAGCAAGAAGTAGGGTAGCATTTTACTGTCTGCACTGTGTATAGTCCCCTCTTTTGAAACCACATTCCTTTGGCAAAGCCACCTTTCTTTCCTACTTATGTCTCAGGCATCACTCAAGCACTCAGCACTGCAAGTCTCAAAGTGTCACCACGAGTTTAATGTGTTTTGAAAATGGAGATCCCAGTAATCTTCTCTGGCCGTACAGTGACATGCTCTAACACCTTCACCTAGGAGCTTGTTAGAAATGCAGAATTCACCCCAGCCACGTTGAACTAGAATCTGTATTTTAATATCTTCAAGGTGATTCATATCCACGTTAAAGCTTGAAAAGCACTGCTTTAAAAGACTGATACTTTACCAAAGCAAAATAATAAGAAACCTTAATAATTAACATATCTCCAGATTAATATCAGGACATCATCAGGGTAGTATGTCATTAGTTTTTTTAATTCAGGAGAGGAAAAAATACTCGATATTATTTCAGGGAAAATGCTTTTATCTTGGATCTTGGATATGCAGATAGTTTTACCACGGGTTGCTCTGGTGAGTTTTTAAATCCTAGCATTTAAGTTGCTACATACCAAGTATATTAAGGCAGTGTTGTTACTCAAGCGTGTGATCCTAGGAGCAGCAGCAGTGGCAGAACTTGGGAGCTTGTTAAAAATACAAATTCTCAGGTTTCATTCTGATTTACTGAATCAGAATCTCAGTGGATGGGGCCCAGCAATATATGTCTTAATAAGCTCTCCAGGTAAATAACAATTCAGGCATACTGAAATTCGAGACACGCTGTATTAGTATATCGAAATATGCTGTTATGTGCCATTGAGTCAGTTCTGATTCATAGCGAACCTATGTAGGACAGAACAAAACACTGCCCAGTCATACACCATCCTCACAATCATTGCTATCCCCGAGCCCATTGCTGTAGCCAGTGTTAATCCATCTTGTTAAGGATCTTCCTCTGTTTTGCAGACCCTCTACTTTACCATGCATGATGTCCTTTTCCAGGAACTGCTCCCTCCTAATAATAACATGTCTAAAGTACATGAGACGAAGTTTTGACATCTTCCCTTCTAAGGAGCCGAATTAGCTGTACTTCTTCCAAAACAGACTTGTCTGTTCTTCTGGCAGTCCGTGGTATAGTCGATATTCTTCACCAACACCATAATTAAAAGGCATCAATTCTGAAGTCTCCCATATTCATTGTCCAGCTTTCACGTGAAAATAGCATGGATTGAGTCAGGTATACCTTAGTCCTCAAAGTGACATCTTTGCTTTTTAACAAAGTGTTAAAACTTTTTCTTGACACTTTAAAGAGATCTTTTGCAGCACATTTGCCCAAACATCATTTGATACCTTGACTGTTGCTTCCATGGGTGTTGATTGTGGATCCAAGTAAAATGAAATCCTTGACAACTTCAATCTTTTCTCCATTTATCATGATGTTGCTTACTGGTCCAGTTGTGAAGGTTTTTGTTTTCTTTATGTTAAGGTGTAAATATTGAAGGCTGTAGTCTTTGATCTTCATCAGTAAGTGCTTCAAGTCTTCTTCACTTTCAGCAAGCAAGATTGTGTCATCTGCATATCGAAGTTTGTTAATGAATCTTCCTCCAATCCTGATGCCACATTCTTCTTCATATAGTCTGGCTTCTCGGATTATTTGTTCAGCATACATATTGAATAAGTATGGTGAAAGGAATCAACCCTGACACACACCTTTCCTGACTTTAAATCATGCAATATCCCCTTTTTCTGTTTGAACAACTGCTTCTTGGCCTGTGTAGAGGTTCTGAATGAGCACAATTAAGTGTTCTGGAATTCCCATTCTTTGAAATGTCAGCTACAATTTGTTATGATCCACATAGTCAAATGCCTTTGCATAGTCAATAAACACAGGTAAACATCATTCTGGTATTCTCCACTTTCAGCCAAGATCCAGCAATGATATCCCTCATTCCAAGTCCTCTTCTGAATCCGGCTTGAATTTCTGGCAGTCCTTTGTCGATGTACTCTTGCAACCATTTTTGAATTATCTTCAGAAAATTTTACTTGCATGTGATAATAACAATATTGTTCCATAATTTCTGCACTCCTTTGGATCATCTTTCTTTGGAATAGGCACATACATGGATCTCTTCCAGTGGATTGGTCAGGTAGCTGTCTCCTAAATTTCTTGGCATAGATGAGTGAGTGCTTCCAGTGTTGCAGCTGTTTGTTGAAACATCTCAGTTGGTATTCCCTCAATTCCTGGAGTTTTGTTTTTTGCCCATGGCTTCAGTACAGCTTGGACTTCTTCCTCCAGCACCAATGGTTCTTGATCATATGTTACCTCCTGAAATGGCTGAACTTCGACCAGTTCTTTTTGGTACAGTGACTCTGTGTATTCCTTCTATCTTTTCATGCCTCCTGCTTCATTCATTATTTTCCCCATAGAATCCTTCAATATTGCAGCTCAAGGCTTGAATTTTTTCTTCAGTTCTTTCAGCTTGAGAAACGCCGAATGTGTTCTTCCTTTTTGGTTTTCTAACTCTAGGTCTTTGCACATTTGCTTATAATGCTTTGTCTTCTTGGGCTGTCCTTTGAAATCTTTTGTTCTGCTCTTTTACTTCATCATTTCTTCCATTCGCTTTAGCTCCTCTACATTCAAGAGCAAGTTTCAGAGTCTCTTCTAATATCCATTTTGATCTTTTCTTTCCTGTCTTTTTAGTGACTTTGCTTTCTTCGTGTATAATGCTCTTGCTGTCATCCCACAGATCTTCTGGTCTTTGGTCATTAGTGTTCAATGCATCAAATCTATTTTTGAGATGGTCCCTAAATTCAGGTGTGATAGACTCAAGGTCATACTTTGGCTCTAGTGGACTTTAATTTTCTTCAGCTTCAACTTGAACTTGCATATGAGCAATTAATAGTCTGTTCCACAGTCAGC